TCCGTCAAACGAGAGGAACCACCGAGACGACGGAGCATCGACGTTTATCGGTGGCTGGTAACGGTCCCTCGATTCGGTGACACTTGACAGCTCGTTAGCTCCTTCTCCCCGGGACAGGAGAAATCGTGGTCATGCTCGTCTGGCCCTCATCTGTCGTGCCTGTACACGATACACCAATTTTCCGCGTGAATCTGTCTCCACCACGAAATTTACTTCGATGTTGATAGCATTATCGCCCCCCCCCCCCTCCTCCTTCTCTCGTGTCTCGTGTCTCCCGTGCCCGAGATACGTTCTGGCCACTCGCCAGAATTAATTCCCACTACGGGGATCCGGATCCGGCGAACCGTTCCCGACCGGTTTTTTTCCCCATTCCCGTTCGCGACACTGATATTTAAAAACGCCGTTTCGTCGCCGTTCCGTGGCAAAAATCACTTTTCCTCTATACTATACGAAAAAAAGAAAAAGAAAAAAAAAGAAAAAAGAGAAATAATACTCGCGACAATTTCTATTACAGATCGATATCCGATATCTATCTCTGTCCGTTTCTTTTCGGACGAGAGGTACTTTTATCCCGATAGCGACAGGAAAAAGTAAAAGCTGGAGAAAAAAGGAAGATAAGGAGAAGGCTGGACAGTGATTTCGTCCATCTCGATAGACGGTGGAGAAAACGGCAGGTGTTCGTTGCGGAGCAGCTGCAATCACGACCACCATCTGCCGCAGTAATGCACGCCTCTTCCAAGTCTTCCAGTCTTGAAGAAGCGAGACTCGTTGCCCGAGGCATTCATCCTCAATTAGACGCCACCTGAAACACGTGCCCCTCTCGAATCCATGGATTTCGATGGCTTCTTTCTCATCCACTCCTTATCTCCTTCTTTTTCTCGTTACTCTTCTTCTTGCTCGTCTTACCATGTCCTTTATTCCGGTTCTCCTCTTCCTCTATCTCTCCGCGTTTCAGGGCTTCTTTCCTTTTTTCCATGCCACGCGTCATTATCCTTTGCTTCCTCGTACCAGTGGCCAAGTCATCGATCACCGATCACCGTTTTTCGCCGAGACGACAGTTGGCAAGCACGAGGCTTCGCGTAAGCGTAAAAACATCCTCGACACGTGCTATCGTTGAAAATCGTTGAATCCGAATAAGAGAACCTGTATATCGCGTTACAACTCGATGCTTCCTTCCGTCTAAAAGTTTCGAAAATAAAATCGTTAATTCCTTGTCTAATTGACGATTTCTATTTTTGATTATACCATGATCGAAAGAAAGAATCGCATCGTTTAAAACTCGACGATAAAATTCAATTGAAATATTATCGCATTATAATTTACACAAGTCGAACCGAGACCGCAGTTCTCTACTTTATCGAGCTCGTCGAAAATGACTCAGCAAACGTATACATGTGGCGAGCTCTATTATAATAAATGTAAATCACTATCGTTAACCTTCCTTTTTTATCTCTTGCTCGATAACTGTATCGTAAAAAATAAATTTACTTTAATATTAAAATTACTTAAATTAATAATTAACGAGTTGCTTATTTATATAGATTATTTTAATAAAGATAAAATAAAATTGAACAAAATTGATAAAAAAAAAAAATATTTATAAAAAAAAGACTTTAAATTATTTTTTAACTTTTCCGAACAAAAATATTTTAATTCGGACTCGCCGGAATTATTCCGTTACGTTCCATTTCTTGCTTCAGTATATGCTTTTGCACCTTCCCGCTGGATGTTTTCGGATAATCCGTTACGAATTCTACGTAACGCGGTATTTTAAATGACGCTATATGACTTTCGCAATATTTCTTCAACTCTTCCTTCTCAAGTTTCGCGCCGTCTCGAAGGCGTACGCATGCGCACAACTCCTCGCCGTAAACTTTGTCGTAAGCGCCAATAACTTGTACCTCGGCCACCAGGGGATGCATCATTATTACATCCTCGATCTCCTAAATCCACGATACACAAAATTTGAGAAATCGAGTCGTGAGCCAATCTTTGAACTTTTTACCTTTGGGAAAATATTCTCTCCGCCCCGAATTATCATCTCTTTCAATCGTCCGACTATTTGCCCATAACCATCCGATCTTAAGATAAATTGGTCACCGGTCTTGAACCAGCCATCTTTGGTAAAGGTTTTCCTAGTCGCCTCTTCGTCGTTATAGTATTCGATCATGTTTGAGTATCCTCGAACCCAGAGTTCCCCGGGGGTGCCGAAAGGCACCATTTTCTCATTCTCGTCGACGACCTTTCCAAAAATAGAGAGGAAAAAAGAGAGAGAGAGAGAGAAAAATATATTTTAAAAATGAAATTCACGCACGATGCGATTCGATATAAATATTTTTCCATTTACCATAGCTTCGATGTGACTACTCAAATGGCCAACGGTATTATCTGTCAATTCATTCTTCTCGTTGGGCATCGAATGAAAGATAATCCCTGACACCTCCGTCAGCCCATATATGCTCTATCCAACACAACAAATGAAATGGATAATAATTCGTAAATTGGAACGAGGGGATAGGAGTGACGGGTCGAGGCACACCAAGAAACCTCGGAACACGATTTCACGAAAGAGAACGTTATTGATCGGGGCCAAGAAACGATATTTCTCCACGTGGAATCGCATTTATGCATACGAACCGAGTCGAGTTGGCCTCGCGAGATATGTGCATAGATAACGCGGAAAACGCGACGCGTGTCGAGCCGAATTAAGTACGTGTCGACGACCTTCGTCCATTCCCATCCAATCTATGAAAATCCTTCGATCCAAAATTCCAAAAATTACCCGAGAAACGATCCAATATATTTTTTTTTTTTTTCTTAACAAATCGTGCAAACGACTTTGATTATCTCGATCGAAAATGATTTTTTCTTTTTTTAACCTTTACCTTACCTTTATATTGTCAAAGTTGAAACTTTCCCTTATTTTTTTAAAAAGCTCAGGCGACGCTATCGCCCCACCTGTGAAGCCGCAGGCTAAAGTTATCGGCGGAGGTTGAACACGATGATACGCATCCAACAGTGTGATCTAACCGTAAAAAGAAAAGCGAAAAAAGGGTTAAACGTTAAACGACCTTACATATATATATATATATCGAGAATTTTATACGACTTTCGTTACTTTACCCACATAGTCGGTGTTCCGTACACGATATCGCACTTTTCTCCTATTATCGCATCCAACGATTTCATAGGATTGAAGGAGCGGGCTTCCAACACGATCGTGATACCGGCATGAAACATGTTCAACAATCCTTTAATCAGGCCGTACACGTGGAAGAACGGAACGTTCAAGCACACCTTCTGCTCCATCCTTATCTCCGTCCTTAATACGCTCTACAACAAACGTAACAAACATCATCATGTGCATCAGATGTCGATCGAATATATACATATATACATGTATACATGTATGTACCTGTTTAGAGTTATTGAACAACGATCTGTGCGATAAGAGGGTAGCTTTCGGTTTTCCAGTGGTTCCCGAAGTGAATTGTATATTGCTACCGCTGTGACACGATATCCGATCCTGTTCACCCGCGACACGTTCGACCTCGATCTTGGACGCGAGCCGCTCCACGTCGGCGAATCGAAGCGTCCCTCTTGAATCGAAACGAATTTCGAATTAGCGACGATCCAGGCAACGCTCGTTGGAAAACGATATAGGAAATCGTGGCGAGCGAAGGGAGAAGGGTGAGAATGCATTAACCTAATTGCAAAATCGTCGGGTTGGGGAGATCATCCTTCTATTCGGATTTCGATCGGAAAATTTGAAAAATTGCGCGCGATAATAATTGCCTCGATTTATTATTTATTTTTTTTTTATTCATTTGCGACGAATAATTCTCTCGTTTAACCTAATTTATTATTTTTTTTTTTTTTTATTTTTTTTGCACGCGGCATTTTTATTTATACATCGCACGGCGAACGGGAAAGTACATTAAAATTGCAAATTGCCCGACCTTGTGTTCTAATTGTGGAACACGTGTGTGTATATATATGAAATTCTCTCGTTCTCCCTAATACGTCTCCCTAAGACGTTAAGGATTTACGCGTATCCTTCATCCTGTCTCCCCCTCCTTTATCGAGCGGATACAAAGACTTATCGCTCTGTCCACCCCTCTCCCTCCTCTCGCTTAAATTAAACCGAAGAAATAAAATCGATCCCTCGAATATAATATATATATATATACACGTAATAAGAGCGAAATGCAGAATTGTCTTACTCAATGTGATCTTTGGAATAGATAATTATGTGTTCCAACATGGGGCACGTGGTTCGTTTGGCGCGTAGCAGCATCGCGGGATAATCCTGGGTTTTAAAATTGTCTGGGGATATGACTGCCTTTACCCCGACCTTTTGCAAGCAATAGGTGATCTCGTCGAATCGGTAGGTGGGGTTTATCGAGACGACGACTAGGCCCACCCTCGTGGCGGCCACGAAACCGATTATCCACTCGACGTCGTTCGGCGCCCATATACCGAGACGATCGCCCTGTCTCAGGCCAAGCTTCGCCAAACCGGCCGCGAAACGATCGGCGCGATCGAGCAGCTCGGTGAACGTCAACCGTACGCCCTGGTGAACCGAGATCACGCACTCCTTGTCGGCCCATCTCTTCGCAGCAGTTCCAGCCAGACTGCCCAACGTTTCGTTGATCACCGCCACGTCCCCCGGGCAGTGCAAATACGACAACGAC